AAACAGTAAAGATCCTCATTAAATGCAAACCTTAATGCACGAGTGTCATATTAAGGCGGAACAAGAGTCTGGGCGCTTGGGGCTGATTAGAGAAATTGCCAGGCTTTGGGGCTCTTTTCTGCAGGGGTTGAAGTGCCTAGTGCCTTGCGAGCTTGATCCAGGTCAATGCTAGGCACCTTCTGCTACCACTGACTTTGCATTGGGAGCAGAGCCCCTTCAGCACCTCTTAGGAGGCACGTGGTACCTTGCAGGGCCAGTCAGCGCTTCTAATTATTCCCAAATGGAGCCCTGCTCCCATGGAAATCAGTGGCAAAATGCCCATTGAATTCACTGGTGCAGAATTGGGCTTTTCCTTCCTGACCCACCAAGGGACCAGCCCAACTGGAGGAGCAACGCTGAAGGAGCAATGCTTCTGGTGAGGAGATCTGACTAGTCTGACTGGAGCCAAAGACCTCGGCATTTTGGTAGCAGACTCCCCTGCGCCACCAGAACAACTCGGGCTGCTAGGTCTGGGTTAGAAACAGAGAGATTTCTTCCGAGGGTCGAACACAAGGGCATGCCCACTGGCCTCAGGTTGGAGTGGAAGCAGACGTGAGCGGGGAGGGCTGGTGGGAGAGGATGCAAGAGGGGCCTTTTCTGCCATAAAGTCCAGTGTCTGCCTCAACTGCGGGCAAGTAATGACCAGGGGAGCGGGCACATGTCCCGCGAGCACCAGGGAGTCAGAACAGCAGCCCATGAGCTGCAGGGATGGCGCACATTACCGTTCCTTGTAGATCAGCAGCTGCATTTCTGCCCCTCCGTGAAGCCCCTTGAGTTTTTAGTTCTGGCATCTGGACCCCCAGGAGAGGCAGGATGGAGGGAAAGCTCTTCTTGGAGGCAGATGCACGGTGCACTTGTTCCCCTGGAGCTTGGGGTGAATTCTGCACTCTTCCCCCCCAGTCTTGGTGTGACAGATGCTGAGCTGGGCCATACCCAGCTGAAAGGAGCTGGAAGACGGGCCTGGCCAGAGCTGTGCTTCCCTAAATGCAGCGTGCTCCAAGGGCTGCTGTGTTTTGCTGCTAAGCGGTGAGGCAGCAGCTAATCCCTGCTAGGGTGAAATTAGACAATGGATTATTACCTTTGAAATTTCCTCTTTCTCCTTTCCAGCATCTGGGTTCCCCAGACCCAGACGGACATTTAAGAGCTTGTTTTCCACACTAAAGAGCGGCTTTTGGATTCAGACGGGCCCAGGAACATTAACATGCTCAGTGCAGGTCTATACCCTGTCATACTTCTTATCTCAAGGACAGCACCTCCGACAGCAAAATGCTTCATCCATCGCATGGGAATATTAACAAGTGTCCGGTGCTCTTGAGCAGGAAAAAAACCTGCGACCCACAGGCTTCGTGCCAAACCTGCCGCTTGCTAAAGCAGCGCCTCTCTCTGGGCACCGACGCAGGCCGTTTGTGGGTCCGTCACGTTACTGCACACATGCAGATGAGCTAGCGTGAAGTGTGTGACAGGGGTGAGGAAAAGCCAGCGGTGACTCGCTGCAGGGCGTGACATTGCAGCACGGTGCACTTTTCCGAGAGGACAGCCACCCCTTGGCACAAAGCATGCGTGAGCGTGCAATGCAGGCACACAGAGGAGGCCGGGGTGCGGGGAGCACGCTGGGTGTTGCTTCTCCTTGCTTTGTGAGAGTGCAAGCCAGTCTTAGCATTAGTTCGTGTGTGTGGTTTACTTTTCCTTTTTTGTTTGGTATTTTTAATCTCTTGGGAGCGTATCTATGAGCTGAGAAACTTTAGAGCTGATATAGCTTTTTAAAGTGGGGATTATGTAAATGCATATTACAGGGCTTCCATAAATGGGGATTATTTGTCGAATACATTTGAGTGCTTCCTCTGGAGCCATTAAGGTCTGTTGTGTAAATAGGAATTTAGTGACTGTTTATTCTAAATATCATTGATTCAATAATAGCCGCGACAGCATTTCTTGTTTGCGTTTGTTGTGGCCTCTCGTGCAAATGTATCGAGACAGTTTTCAAATCATGCCACCCTATGTAACAAGGAAAGAAAGATAATCATGGGGCAGCTCTCCCTGTGCCTTCTCTGCCGGCCTTCTCCAAAGTCCCATTTCTCACCAGCGTGAGCATTTGGAGCAAAACACACCGCAGCCCAGGCCGGTGGCTTGTTTTCACGCACGAACTGAAGAGCACGTGCGAGTGTTACCATCAGCGCGAGAGCACGAGGGTGCGTTTCACCACAATTATCTATATTTCTATGCAGGCCTTTAAGAAGCAGCAACCTTTCCGCGCGGGTGGCTGGCTCTCTTGAACAAGCCAAAGGATATTTAAATGAAATGCTCTAAATGTTGGGAAACGGCGCATTTCACCAGAGGCGATCGAGATGCAGAGTTCACCTTGGGAATGCTCTACCCTAGGGCTCCTCTCAGCTATGCAAGCAGTGCATGGGCACGAGTCGGGTGCCTGGATGTGGGGCGCAGAGGGCTGAAGCAGGGAGGGCTGCACAGAAGAAGAGGACACCCAAACCCCTGGCCGGTTTGCATTCTGCAGACCCCCCCAGGGATCGACTGAAGTCCCAGGATCTGAATCGGGGTGAGATCTGCCCTAATGCGCGAGAACTTGCAACGCGGCCGGTCCCTTGAAGCACCAGGCTACGACGTGGCGGCCGAGACCCCCGCACAGGGCGGCACTGGCGAGTCCCAGAGCTGCTCTTCTCCCTGAAGCAAAACCCCCGCGCAGCCCTTGGGTGGGACATCCACCAGCCCCTCCCGCAGCGTCGCTGACCCAGGCAGCCCAACGGGAACAGGGAACGAGAGCAACTTTCCCGCACGATCGTCACCGGGAAGGACTCCTGTCTGCGGAGACGAGCCTTCGTTCGGAAAGGCTGACTCCAAAACACCCCGTGCTTGGTGGCACCTTGGACCAGGTCCTGCGCAGGGAGTCCAGTGCAGCTGCCAGCTGTCCCGCGGGTGCTGTTGGGTCCTGAGCGCCTGTGAGTCCTTATCACGGATCATGCTTTGCTCTGGATGCGGCACGGCACGGTCCACACGCCGTTCACAGCAGGCGGCACCTGGCAGAGGCCTGGCTGCGCTCACCTCATTATTGGTGTTGTCCCACCAGCCCAGCTGCACCAGGCAGGCTGTCAGAGACGCTGAAAACAAGTCACATCAAACATTGCCCACGGGCTTGTTTATTCCTCGAGCAGGGAGCGGACTGCATGCCAATATTCCTGGTAGGACATAATGAAGAAGCTTGTTTCTGCTGGAAGACTTGGATGCCCTCCTAGGGGGGAGCGCTGTGGAAAAGCAACGTACCAAATTAAAGCGGAGAAAGGCACCCAGGAACGGACCGGGGCCTCCACAACAGCAGAGCTCCTTCTGGGGAGCGAGCCCCAGCCGAGGGCACATGAATATGCAGATCCCCCACTTCAAACTGCAGTGCGGGGCGGGCGCCTCCCCCTCCCGGCCCCCCCGGCTGCTCTGTTCAGGGTCAGGCTGCTCCTCCGCTGTAACCTCCATCACAAGGTTTGCAAATGAGCTAATTTGCAACCCAGCTCTCCGCTCTGGTGAGAGGGCTTCTCCGGGGGAAGGAGCCTCCGATGTCTCCCGGTGCCGTGCAGCCTCCTTCCCTTCGACTCCACCGGTGCCTTGAGCCAGCCGGGCGGGCGGCCCGCGGCTCCGACCTGGAACAAGCACTCGATTAGACAAGATGACACGAGCGGGCCTAAAACCGGCGTCGCCGCCTAGGAAGACGGCGAGAGGGGCTTTGGCAGCCCGATAGGAAAAGAAAGAAAAGTTTGGGAATGAAATCCAGCCCTCAGCCTTTAGCAGCGATTAATCCCTGCCGAGGATCCACTCGTTTACAGGCAGCTCGTTTGCACCGAGTTGGAGCCGGGGACATTCATTCACTGCGATTCCCCTGCCGGGGGAACAAAACCCCACAAAAACCGGGATCTATAGAATCGAAAGCCGTCATTGCGATTCCCTTGGGGGGGGGGACACAAAAACCGTGATGCAAAGATAATCGAAAGTCGTCCTTGCGACTCCCTTGTGGGGCGGACCCACAAAAACTGGAATATGTATAACCCAGCACGGTCAGTGCGATTCCCGTTGGGGGGGGCACAAACCCAAAAACCCGGGATTTATATAATTGAAAGCTGTCCTTGCGATTCCCTTGTGGCGGGGCACAACCCCCCCCATATATATATATATAAACAACAGCCATCACTGCGACTCCCGCGGGGGGGCCCCGCAAACCCCGGGATGTGTGTAAGGAAAGCCGTCGCTGCGATTCCCTTGGGGGGGGGGGACCCCCGGGATCGGTGTAACGGGAAGCCGTGCAAACCGCCGGGCTGGGCCCG